GCTTTACATGCGTCGATGCTCTGCAGGCTCTGGACCCCGTGGGAAGTCAAACCCGCTGCCGTCGACGCCAAGGTGCGTACCGCACTCTCCAAGACGCTATCGGCGCTCCACCGGCAGTACGAGCGCAACAGGTCGGCTCATTTCAGCACACGGCCACTCGGAATTCTCACTTTTGGTAGTCCTGTCTTGATCGTCCAGCGCGTCTACCGAGGGTACCGAGCGCGCAAACACGGCGTCGGAACGCTCCGAAGCATGCTCGCCGCCGTGCGACGCATTCAGCGCAACATTCGAGGCTGGGCCTTTCGCCGCTACCTTTTGGTAGAAAATATGCGTGCTCTGGGTACAATCGGCTCAGGACGCAGCGTAGAGACAGCTGTGTCTCGTGGTAACCAACCACGGCGACGAAGCCCTCTTGGTCTCGACGCTGCGAAAGCAAAAGCAACGCGCGATTCCCAAAATCATGTCGGTGTGGCTCCGCCGCCGACGCATCTACCTCCGCAACAAGGCTGCGCTGCGCATCAAGCAGTTTCTGCGCGCTGCTGTCGCCGCGATCCAAGCAATGCGCGCTCGGCTCCTTTCGTCACCGTGGACTTTAGCGATCGTGTGCACGCCGGCATCGCTGCCTACGGTTCTTGCCGTCGCCAAGATTGCCGCCCATCGCGACCACCACGTAAGACATTGCGTCTGCAATTCAATCGGACAGATGCCGAATGCAGGTATGGGGTATCCCTGTCGGCGCACTGGCCAGCCGCGTCGTTGCCGCCGGCCCCCTTGTCGTTCGGCCCGCAGGCTATCATTTCCACCACGTTTTTGTGCAGCTGCAGCGTCCACGCCACTTGGCGCGGAGTCCGTGCGTGTTAACCAAGTGCGACGACGTGGCGCTGCTCCAGAGCCAGCTCCACCTCTTGCGCGACGATGCCGAGCAGCTATCGACGCTGCAACCGCGAGAAAGCACGCCGCTGCAGCGACAGCACCTTGCGGCTCTTCGCCACGAGGTGGCCCAGCGAATTCGCCTTCTGGACGCCACGCTTCAGTCGACGATGCAAGCCCATGCCGCGCGGCTGGTACCTTTCCGTCTAAAAACACTTGTCGACGATGTTCGGTCGTAGACATCCAAGGCACGGAAGCGAACTGTTCGGATCCGACCCCGCGGTGTCCAGTACGAAGCTAGGAATGGCATGGGACTCTAACACTAGGTAGAAAACCCAAGCACGTCACGCCGACGCGGCGCGATCTGCCGCCGCCGACTACGTACGAGACGCTTCTGACGTTTGTTCCCACGTCGTTTGGCATGTACTGGCGCATGCTGTATTTGCTCCGCCGGTCGCACGGCTTCGACGACACCGTGCTCTGCATCTACTCGCAGGACGACGTCCGCCGCCTGGCTGCGGCCGCACGCATTCAGAGCGTCTATCGGTCGTACCGCACACGCCAGCGCACCCAGTTTGCCGCTGCGTTTCTACAAGCCCGCGCGACACTCTGTCTACAGCGGTACATACGCAGTGCAGTGTCGCCGTGTGTGAAATGCGCTGTAGGTGGTGGCGCAACACGCTGTACATTTACCGGGTGCTCGCTCAATGGACACATTGTCTGCAAACGGTGGCATCGATCGACTCGAACGTGTTGTATGTGGAAGAGCGTGTCTTGACACTCTTGCGTGCCCCCGCGATGCTCGAGATGGTCATGTCGGCATTGCCGACGCGGACGTCGCACCACTGGAGGTTCAAGTTTACGCACAAGGCGCTGCATATTCCCATCACGCTCGATGAGAGCTTGTCGCGACTGCCCGAAGACGAGCAACAACAATACCTTAGCACGTTCCTCGTCGACAATGGACTGCACCGCGTTGGATTTCCCGTCTGGATGCCCAGCACACCCTTCCATGAGATTGTCGGTCGGGAAGAGAAGCATGGCTCCAAAGACCAGGTTCCACGATGATCGATCCTATCCATGTATCCAACGATCGTATGGATCGTGTAGGCCAGCCACCTCGTTTCTATTGGCGTCAACGAGGTGCCGGCCAATGACGTGTTCATAAAGCCGCTCTTGAGCTCGTGTGATCCAAAGTTTGGTCAATTCCAGACATGCCTCGACGTCGTCGCCGACAGCTACGCGCTGTGGAACCACTCGGAAGCCGATGCGGTGCCCATGGCCTGGGGCAAAACGTGCGGTGTGCCCATGGTCAAGCTCGAGTTTGACTCGGTCCAAGAAGCTCGGCACCGCGCCGTTGTGCTGCTCCTCAAGACATACGACGCGCGCACGCAGACGTATGCGCGTCTGTTTACATACTCGATGCTGCGGTACCTCTGGCTTGACAAGCCGGTACGCCAACGCTGGATTCCTCGGATCTGATGTTGGCGATGGACTAGACATGTCTGCGGTCCGGCCATGTCTTTTCGAGCCACTGGCACGCGCTTCGTCTCGCACTGCCGTCGCGTTGGGGCACCTTTTACCGCGAGTCCGTCGCGACAAGCCGAGACCGACGCGGGTGTACGACGACAGGCTCGTCGCACTTGGCGCGCCTCGCACGCTTGAGTGACCAGCCCCTCCTCGACTTGGCGCTCGTCCAGCCGCCACCCATGCCCACCGACGATAAG